ATTACTACTACTACTACTACTACTACTACTACTACTACTACTACTACTACTACTACTACTACTACTACTACTACTACTACTACTACTACTACTACTACTACTACTACTACTACTACTACTACTACTACCATGTAACGCCCCTCACGGGGGTAGAAACCAATTGGACCAAGTGTATTTGCTGGGGCGTCGCGCTGTCACCCTGCTCATCCTTTCCTCATCATGCTCGTCCTCCTCCTCATCCTTCTCCTCGTCCTCCTCCTCCTCCTCCTTTTCCTTGTCCTCCTCCTCCTCCTCCACGTCCTCCGTCTCCCCCTTCCCTACCTCGGGCGTGATGGACCATGGGACCTCATGGAGCCTCCTGGTAATCCCGGGGGCCTCCTGCGATAACAGCCTCTGGGGACTTCCTGCGGCCTCTTGAAACCTCCTGGGCTCTCCTAGGGTATCCACAGCCCTCCAGGGGCGTCCGCAGCGTTCTGGCACTTTTGGGTCGTTCAGGATACGCCCGGAGCGTGATGGGACCTCCTGGGGCCTTGCGGGACCTCGCGGGGCATCCTGGGACCTCCTGGAGCGTCCTGGAGCCTCCTTAGGATTCCCACGGCCTCCGGGGCCGTCCTGAAGCCTCCTGGAGCTTCCTGATGCCTCCTGAGACCTCCTGGGGCCTCTTGGCGGCTCTCTAAGAAGCCACGCGCGGGGCCTCAAAATTGGCGACAGTTTCACGGATGGGAGCCTCCCATTGAGAAAGAGGGCGCGGTGGACGCTGAAAAATGACGACAGTTACACACTTGAGGCCCAAAACCGTGCCAGGCGCCCCCCCCGCCATTCCCGGTCCTGCACAGTACGGTGCGATTTGCCCCCTCCCCGCTGTCCCGCTGGTCCCGGGCTAGTTATCTGGTTTTCGCTGGTAAGAAACACTTCCCCCCCCCCTCCCGGCGGTGACGGAGGGCAGGCGGCGGGGGAGAGCGGGTTGGCAGGGTGGCTGGTTGGGCACGGAGAGCAGGCGGAGGGGATCGGCTGGTTGGCGGGATGACGGGGTGGGCGGCTGGGCTGGTTGGCTGACGGGTTGGCTAGGTGGCGGGGTGGCTGGGTGGGCTGGCTGGCTGGTTGGACGGGTTGGCAGGTTGAGCTGGCTAGGGCAATTGGTTTCGACTACTACTACTACTACTACTACTACTACTACTACTACTACTACTACTACTACTACTACTACTACTACTACTACTACTACTACTACTACTACTACTACTACCTACTACTACTACTACTACTACTACTACTACTACTACTACTACTACTACACCGACTGGAAAACAACGATACCTAACACTACTCCTATACTGACTACTACTACTACTACTACTACTACTACTACTACTACTACTACTACTACTACTACTACTACTACTACTACTACTACTACTACTACAAGTACTAACACTACTACTACTACTACTGCTGCTGCTGCTGCTGCTGCTGCTGCTGCTACTACTACTACTACAACTGCTACGACGACTGTTACAACTACTGCTACTACTACTACTACTACTACACTTTCGACGACTAGTACTACTACGACTACAACTACAACTACTACTACTACTACTACTACTACGACGACATTTCGGCGAATACTACTACTACTACTACTACTACTACTACTACTACTACTACGACTACTACTACTACTACTGCTGCTGCTGCTGCTACTACTACTACTACTACTACGACTAGTACTACTAATAAAAACAAGACTACTACCACGACTACTCCACTCCTACTACGACTACGACTACGACGACGACTACACCTGCTACTACTACACCTACTACTACTACCACTACTACTCCTACCACTACAACTACTAAAACTACTACAACGACTACGACTACGACTACGACTACGACTACGACTACGACTACTACTACTACTACTACTACTACTACTACTACTACTACTACTACTACTACTACTTCTGCGACGACTACTACTACTACTACTACTACTACTACTACTACTACTACTACTACTACTACGACTGCTTCTAGTACCACTACTCCTAGCACTACTACAACCACAACCACCACCACTACTACTACTACTACTACTACTACTACTACTACTACTACTGCTAAACTACTACTACTAATAATACTACTAATACCTCTACTACCACTATTACTACTATTACTACTATTACTACCTCTGCCACGACTACTACTACTACTACTACTACTACTACTACTACTACTACTACTACTACGACGACTACGACTACTACGACTACTACTACTACTACTACTACTACTACTGACTACTACTACTGCTGCTACTACTACCACTACTACTACTACTACTACTACTACTACTACTACTACTACTACTACTACTACTACTGCTACTGCTACTACTACTTCTACTACTACTACTACTACTACTACTACCACTACTACTACTACTACTACTGCTACTACTACTACTACTACTACTACTACTACTACTACTACGACTACTACAAAAAGCCCACAGATCTCTCCTGGGTTCCATTTCGGCCGAAATTCCGAAAGAATTCGAGCCGTGGCGGAGGGGCCTTCACGAGCCCGAAATGAGCGAGAATACTACCAAAAAACTCTGGCCTCGATCCTGCCCTCCGCGTCGCCTTCAACTCCGCGAGGGGGAGCCCCCGCGCTCCCAAGGCCGTCCACGACGACAGCAAAACCGAAAGCCGACCGAACCGACCGCGAAACTGAAACCGACCGGCCGCAGCCTGGAAGGGCGCGGCGACGCCGCAACGACACGCTCAACCGACCAGACCGAATCGAGCGGACGCAACCGACCGCGACGCAGCCGCAAACGAAGGAACCGCAAACACCTATGCCCCCCCCCGGGGGCGCACCCGGCTGCGTAGAGGCGGAGCGGCTGCGCGCACCTGCAGGCGCTGTCGCACGCCCACTCCTGCGGGCGGGGCACGGGCGGGTGGTCGGAGAGCGACAGCGGGATCGACGCCACGCTTCTCGGGCGACCTCACGAGCGTGGTGCAGTCCTCGTGCTGCCACACGGAAGGCCGAAGGAGGAGCGGGAGGGTTTCCCTGGCCACGGCGGGCCTCGGCCACGACAAGGCTCCCCGACCCAGAGCTAAGGAACGGCCCCAAACCCAGAAGCCCCCCTTCAACTCGATGGTCCTCATATCAAGCCGTCCATCTCCTGTATCGTCGTCCCTTCCCCAATCCCCCATCCCCCCCTCAACCTCATTAGGCTTTGCATAAAAAACAGCGATCTGGTAATGCGCGCAGTCTGAGAGACGACGCGCGTGCCACGGATATCCTCCTCCTCACTCCCCAAAGGGCTAACCCTTTGGGAGGGGACCTGAGTTAGGAGGGCCGGATACATGTGGGAGAGGGGGCCTTTTCCTGCAGATGTACCAGGCCAAACCGCCCACATCTATCACCCCTAATCCCACCAGCCATTTGGGCGTGAGTGGTTTAGAGAGCCCGCTCTGTTCTCAACCCCCCTTCGTCCCCTTCGGGGAGGGGTTTACCCCTCCCCCTACCCCCTCCCCCTGGGCCTGGAGAGGTCCCTCCGCGGGTCGTCAGGGGGGTCATTTTCGACTCCTGCGAGGGCTAAAAAACGACACCCGTCACGAGGATTCTGGCCCCGACGGGGGGAGTCAGAAAAAATGCTCTCCTCTTCTTTGAAGCCAAAATCATTGACTTTACTACGGTTTTGGCCCCATTTTGGCCTTCTGAGGGGGCAGCGCTCCTTACAGCTCCCCTCATCTTTCAAGGCAAATTCATTGATTTTACAAAAGTTTTGGGCCCATTTTGCCCTTCTGAGGGGGCAGCGCTAATTAAAGCTCCCTTCTTCTTGGATCGATTTCCTCCAAGATGGCCCCAAGAGGCCCCAAGAGGCATCCCAGAGGCCCCCACGAGGCCCCCAAGAGGCCCCCAAGAGGCCCCAAGAGGCCCCCAAGAGGCCCCCAAGAGGCCCCCAAGAGGCCCCAAGAGGCTCCAAGAGGCCCCCAAGAGGCCCCCAAGAGGCCCCCAAGAGGCCCCAAGAGGCTCCAAGAGGCCCCCAAGAGGCCCCACGAGGAGCCCGAACGACTCACACCAGGACGAGGGGCCCGAACGACTCACACCACGAAGAGCCCGAACGACTCACACCAGAAGGAGGGGCCCGAACGACTCACACCAGGACGAGGCGCCCGAACGACTCACACCACGAGGAGCCCGAACGACTCACACCACGACGAGGGCCCCGAACGACTCACACCACGAGGAGCCCGAACGAGTCACACCAGGAGGAGGGGCCCGAACGACTCACACCAGGATGAGGGGCCCGAACAACTCACACCACGAGAAGCCCGAACGACTCACACCAGGACGAAGAGCCCGAACGACTCACACCACGAAGAGCCCGAACGACTCACACCAGGAAGAAGGGCCCGAACGACTCACACCAGGACGAGAAACCCCAAACGACTCAAACCACGAGGAGCGCTTTCTCTCCCTCCTCCTCCGCCTCGTCCTTCTCCCGCTCCCACCACAAGGAGGATGTACAAGGAGGCGGGAGGAAGGAGGAACAGGGGAGATATGCGGGGGCAGGCGGAAACACGCCTGAAAAACACGACTGTCGGCATGCTTCGCAAGAGTTGCTGTTTTGAGATGGGCTGGTGGGGATACGCGAAGCGTGAAGAATTTGAAAGCGGGGGCCTCAGTGAGGCCACGTCTTCGTCGTGCTATTAAAGTTAAGGGTGTTTTTGCTGTCAATGATCACCAGGCCCCGTGGCCGTCCACAAAATTGCACGAGAGGAGCAGCCAGGTCCCCAGGGAAGGGGTCGACCTCTCCAGAGCCCACACACAGAGAATCGGCCTCGAGAGTCTGGACGCGAGGCGGTCCCCTTCGAAGCTCGCGGGGGGAAGGGACTTCTTCTAGCGGGCGAAGAACGGTATAGCATAAGTGTTCTAGCCGCCCTGGGGAAGGCAGGCCCCCCCTGAAGGCAGAAAAGAGTATGTCATACCCTTCCTCGCCCACTAATTCTGGAAGGCTCTTCCTGCTTCTGAAAAGGCCGCTCAGAGGCTCCCGAACCCTTCCGCGAAGTCCCCTGGCCTTCTCAGACGGCCGCCCCCTCTTGCGCCGTCGTCCCCGTCTGCGCGCCGCCAATCCTCTGAGCCCCCGCCCGGGCGGGCAGGTGCAAGACACTGTTGCGTTTGTCCTCGACAGGTGCTACGGTCAGGAGTTTTTGCTTAGCACGTCGCGGCGCCGGCCCTGGCGACATGTCATGCCCTGCAAGCGGATGGCGCGTCGCTCCGCCCCGCGGAACAAACGATTTCGAATGATTATGGGCGCTGACGTTCAGGAACTGGGACGTGGTTGGCGCATCGCGCCGAAGAATGGTGGGCCAAAACCGGCGGCGCGACATGCTGAGCGAAAGATCCTAGCCGCGCAGCGGTGACTTTCGACTCTACGTGTTGCACCGTTTTCCAATTCGTATGCTGCTCGCCGATAGGTTGGGCCTAATTGTACACGTTGCCTTTGCGTGACTGCTAGCTTCGGTGGCACCAAGTCAATGTGCACACGGAACGCGCCAAAGGTTTCGACGACAGGTTCAACGCGGCGCATGCTGGGCTGCGCGGAAAGCAGCAACACGCTCTTGCCCAAAATACCCTCTCCCCTTTTATCGTTACTGTTGTCTCGCAGCTCATACGCCCCAACTCGAACACTCTCGAAACCCAGTGCAAGAAAGCTGATACCGCACAGTGAAAAGCGCTGCCTCCACGCCAGGAAGCACCAACGGAAAACCCGACTAAAAAATGGCAAGACACAGAGCACTAGAGCATGATAGGCACACAAGAGCTTGCTGAACTGATCAATCACAATCAGGGCAGGATGGGACGAGATGGGGCCAATCCCTCGAGAATCCGCGACGGGTGAATCGGCGCGCTCCTACAACAACAACAACAACAACAACAATAACAACAATAACAACAATAACAACAATAACAACGACAACGACAACGACAACGACAACGACAACGACAACAACAACAACAACAACAACAATCACTTTACCCGAACGCTCAGTGTTCTCACCAGTGCCAGGGTTTTCATGCGACGCCAGCCAATACCCCCACTTTGTGGGGGGGCAGTGCAAGCTCTACCAAATATCCACACGACTCTTCGCCACCACCCACACCCAGCTTCCCGCCCTATGACGTTCGGACACTTCACTTCGTGGCCTGCGGACGACCGTGGCTACTACACTGGCGTGGAGTACACACCCACAGAAGTTGTTAAGCCTACGTTCGTACACCCACAGAAGTTGTTAAGCCTTGTTAACCCACAGAAGTTGTTAAGCCTTCCACTGGTATCCATGACATTGCGATTCGTGTGATTTTATGATGCGCGGTGCTAAAATTCTTAAGAAGCCCAATGGTTTTTGGAGATTTCGGCGTGCGCGCGCGAAGAAAAAACGAATGTGTCCCGCATGGTATTATTTGACAGGGATGATGGCCCTGGCAGGTGCGCAACCGTTGTCGCAGAAGTTCGAAAAAGTTGCTCGCAAAAGCCCGTTTGACAGAAATGTTTAAAAAGTGTTGGGTTTCCTACGAATCCGCAAGAGCGCGCGGGATGAGATTTTGACATTTTTTTGTTGAAAAACCATTGGTTTTTTGATGTTTTTATGTTGAAATCGCTCCGAACACTAAGCTTTTGGAAGGATTTCGTCTTGCGCGCGCGAATGTCCACTTTACCTTATTTTTTGCAAGGGATTCTTGAAATTTGATTATATTAGAACAAGAAATGTCATTTTATAGTGTTTTTTGCAAGGGAAAGCGGGGGGGAACAAAACAACCGGATCTTGATCACATCGAATTACCTGAGGCTTCCTCACGAAAATGATGAAAATGTAGCTGCGGCCTAGGCGGCGCAGGGGGGCCGTGCACCAGGGGCCCCAACAATAATTATTCTTTAGAATTAATAATGTTCAACAACAACAACAACAACAACCACAACAACCACAACAACAACAACAACAACAACAGCAACAACAACAATCAGTTTAAGACTGTTCGCTCTTACTTGCCCGCGTGCCGTGCAACGTGTATACCCACGCCCTCGATACCCGCCCCCTTCGTCTTCGAGCGTACCCCCTTCTGGGGGGATTCTTTCTTTTTGCGGGGGCGGGCGGGCTTAGACAAGCGGGCGTGAACGGGCGGGGAATTATTCGGAGGATGGGGCACGCATCTCTTTGCCCACCATTGGAATTAGCGCGGGCCCTGCAAGAAGAGGAAGGGGGAGAACGAGGGAGAGTGGGAGGAAGGGAGGGGGAGGGACGAGGCTAAAGGGGAACACGCCAGGAGAGAGGGGGCGAGGAGGGGGGGGGGGACGATTGGAGATAGAGAGACAGAGGAGGGAGGAAGGAGGAGGCTGGAGAGGGGAGGGCGAAGAGAGGAGGGAGGAGGGTTATGGGAGGAGGGTGAGGGGAGAGAGGAAGAGGGAGGAGGAGGGTGGATATGAGGGAGAGGGGAGGGAGGAGGGAGGTTGGATGGGGAGGAAGGGGCAGGAGGGTAAGAGTGTGAACGTTCGAGGAAGTCCTAGGCGAGGGCGTATTCCTCAAGGAAGAGTTGGGCGGGAGCGGGGGTCCCGAGTACATTGTCGGACGTCTCAGGCGGGAGCGCCGGTCGGGCGGGCGGACCCTGACGGGCGGGTCGGGCGGGCGGGACATTCAAACGGGATTTTTGCGTAAATTGCGAGGAAGTATTAAGCGAGAGCGCGATTCCTAAGTAAATTGCGAGGGCGTCCTTGGCGCGAGCGTGGTTCCTGAGCGTCGAGAACGCGATGCTGCAATAAATTGCGAGGAAGTCCTAAGCGAGAGCGCCATTCCTGAGTAAATTATGAGGAAGTCTCGGGCGGGAGCAGGGGTCCTGATTAAGGAAGTCTCAAGCGGGAGCGCCGTT